TCTTCCTCCTCTACCGTCCAATCCGTGCCGTTGCCAGAAACATTCATTCCTTCAATTGCGTGTCTGCAAACTGTTTAAAAAGTTTAATGAGATACACCGCTCAGAAGTTAAATTAAAAAGAGAGTGAATTTATAATAGGCCAATTGCATCCTTTGGTGAAGCCGTACTGGCCTTGTGCCTTCCGAACGGTTTCGTGATATCGCAATTATTGGTTCAACGGCGTTTTGGAAAGCTGCGTATTTTTCTTCAGCCCGTTAGTGAGAATTTTTGGTGTTCGAGTTCCAGTACATTTTTGCTACATATCTAAGTTATATAACGAGCAATTTTAAATGGGCTCATACCTTCTGTAATTCATAAAAACTAACTTCTCGGCGCATGAGATTAGATAGGGTAACATGGGGCAGCGAGCCCACTGCGGGTCACGGGCCCATAGCGGGTTTCTCGCTAAGTATGGCAGATATTGGTCCGTGTTCTCTACCGCCGGTCGACAGTTTCACTGTGATGAAGTGCACGGATTTACGTTTTGCTAAATGTTTGCGTTATTAAGTTCTTTGCGAATAACTGTTTTTGTCCAGATAAAAATTTTTTTGCCGCTAAATAAAGTTTTTTTCCATTACTATAGATGAAGATTTTGAAATTACTTTTAATTATTTTTTCAGAGTAATATTTATAGGGATAATTTTGAGACCAAGTTTAGACTATTAGCTTTTAAAATAAAATGTTGACACAACATAAATTGAAATGATACCTAGTGGGGGCAACGGGCCCACGCGTGTCACGGGGCAAAGCGCCCATGGTGAAGTCTTGTATTATACATCATTAGATTTGTCTCAATGACCTTTTCAAACTATGACTAGCTTTTTGAATTACAAATTACACTTCATATTGCATGATTTTTTTATTTGCCGCCTCAAGGCAGCAGGTTTAGTTTCTAGTTATGCGTATTTATGACCACTTTTCGAGTTATTGACTCTTGCCTTGCCAAAAGTTGATGTCAGTCAACACCAATGAGCCAAAAGTTGATGAGAGTTTTTATGGTGTTGGCTGAAATCACGATTAGGTACAAAATCTCTGCACATAATATCTGGATTATGGACGAAACTGGAACGAAGTTTTTTTCTTATCAACTAAATATATTTTTTCTAGTCAAGGATACATTTTTTCATGTCAAGGACGAATTTTTTATCGCAACGATATCTTTTTCAAGTCAAGGATATATAATGTTATGTCAATGAAATATTTTTCTTCACGTCACTGATAGATTTTTTAAGCCAAGAGTATATTTTTTTCAAGTTATGGTCCTTATGGATATGATTTTTGAGTTGTTAATAAATGAATGTCATTTTTTTATTACATTTTTCTTATTTTTAACTGTAAAGTGTTGTTTTATCATTTTTAAACGAAAAATATGCAATTGTGGTAAAGGGACCAAGGGTGGGCGCCTTGCCCCAAGCCCATGGGCCCATTGCCCCAGGGGTGGGGCAATGGGCCCATTTTGACACTTTTTACAAAATAGTGTTTCATTAAAAATTGAATAACTTTATAGGCGTCTAATTCACATCATACATTCCTCATTAGTTAGTTGCACCTTTAAACAAAACAAAGAACCACCTCGTATCAATCAAAACTTCATCAAAAATTTAGTTTAAAAAAAGTGGGGGGCGCGCTGCCCCACGTTGCCCTATATATTTCATTAAATATATGATTTAGGGATAAGTCAAGGATTTGAGTGCCTCAGAGGTCAGTTTAGTTGCTGCTCCTATGCTACAATTATTCCCCTCACCGTATTAGTGTACTTCAGTTCACTTCATTACCTAAACCGAATTAAGAGAAGATGTCTCAGCCTCTTGTTCTATGCTACAATAATACTTGACTCGTCAAGCATTTAAACTCGTCTGTCTGACGTCCGCCTTTGCTTATACTATGCAAAATACAGATGAAACGCAGTCAAAGTCTAAATTTTTAGCCGGACTTAGAGTTGTAAGTTTTATATGTTCGTGACAGTTTCCATCGCAGGGATGCGCCAGGACGAGAGAAAAGTTCGTTTTTCGCAAAATGTTACCAAACTGATAGCAGTGAGTTTAAAGATCGTTGTTGGTAAACATCAGAGAAATTCTGAATCTTTAAATTCTGAATGAATCTAATATGATTCATTGGACATTACCTAACATCTTTATCGGACACATTTTATGCCATTTCATGATGAAATTTACTGCAGAATCCCGGGAGACTTCATATTCACCGTTTTTTTATTATATATTGCTCATGAGTGTCATTTCTAGCTTCATTTTTACTATTATGACACGTATCTATTGAATCATCTATGGACAGAAACAGTTCTCAAGCATCATAACTAACCGTGTGTATAGCATGCTTAAGGCTTCGTAACGTACAGATATCCATTTTATTTTTCCGACGTTTTGCGTTCCATTTGTGAAGTTTGTATTTTTAACAGGTTTATATGTGTACATTTTCTATGTTTTCTTTGATCGGAGCTTTCATTCTAGCGCAAATTAAATATTCCTAAGCCTTAATCATAATTACAAACATTATAATCCATCCCACTAAGCAACCAACTAATTAACCACCTAATTAACAAATGACCACATTTATGATTATTAGTTATTAGCTTATTAGATTCATCAAATGGCTTCCTATTTTTGCGATTGATTTTCTGGTCTACTGTGTAAAGCCGAGCTTGCGTGAAATCAACAAAAAATTAATACGTTTGATACCGAAATTTAATTTCGCTTAAGTGAGCACACAGTGCAACTAAGTGTTTAAAATTTCGTATAATTTATTGATTTAAATCGCTTGTAAATTAACACTAAAAAAGTGTCCGTATGAACCAAAGCCGAAATGTTTTTCAATCAAAGAAATCAGTTTCTAGGCTACAAACAATTGCTAGCTAAAAAACTGATTCCTTTAGAAATTTAAATGCGAAGAAAACACCACAAAAATTCAGCATATCTCTATTGAAAACGTTTTAGAGACCAGCTCCATCGTCAATTCAATGAATCTAGAACATAAATAAAGTCAGAAAATTAATAAAGTTTGGAGTAAAAAAATACAGTAGTTAAAAATGATCTTCGTGAATCTTTGAACAACCGATTGGCAAGACGACTTTCTTGCGTGAATCGTTTTACAGTGAATATTGTGTCTAAGTGTTCACTATGCACGAGTGCAGTTCGTTTTCCGGCTCAGTTCTTTTTTCCACCCTTGGCTATCAACTCCCTACTTGGCTGATGCAAGCCCTGTGATGCTAGACTTCGTTCGACCTAGATTCCACGGATTTTTTGAGTAATATTTTCCGTAGAGCCTTTGAATCTTAGGCCTAGCCGTTATCTAATTTATCATGGATATTACTGGTTTAGCATAGTTGTTATTTGTTCTAGTATAGACGTCATCAGTCTTGGCATATGTCCTCTGTTTTAGCATAGATGTCATCTGTTTTTATCATCTTGTGTTTTTTAGCCGCTTGTAACGTGCCCTCGAAGTTCGATCTGAACGAGACGTAACGACAATCTCTTCGTGGAATAATAATAATAATAATAATAAACATAAATTTACAGACAAAGTGCAGAATAATACAGTAAGTACCTATCTATTCACAATTTCTAATGGATAAGAACTATATAGGCAGCATTTAAACTAGGCTTCTCTTTAAAAATATACAATGATTCCAGAGTACTCAGATCGGAAGCACCAGAACTATAAGCTAAAACCCTAAAGTCAGTGTCGGACACTGGAACGTTGCACTGTTCGGCGTGAGTGCGCACAGCCGAATGAGGAGGGCGCGATAGTAACTGCCCAGTCCTATAACTCCTCCCTCTATGCTCAGCAACCCTAGTGTAAAAGTTGCGTGCCGTCATCCCAACGTACGCAGATGCACATCGTACACAACTAAATTTATAAACTAGGGACGATCGCTTGTGAGAAGGATATCTTTGTACCTGAAAAACGAACCTATTTTGAAATTATTCACCAGTAAGATTCGAATATTAATGTCCGGAAAGTATTTCATAAACAAATTTTTTAATTCTCTTGACATAACTTCGGAAGAGAACAGTAAACAGTAAAGTATGCTGTAAAATAGTAATGTATTGAAGAGAACAGGAAACAACGTTTCTACTATCAGGCTCGGGAACAACTTCACTGTATCGCTTAGACATGAATTTCTTAATCTGGGTAAACACCAAACCAGAAGGAAATCCATTAAGCGAGAAGATATTGGGCATAAATTCAAATTCAGAATGCATGGCATGGAAAGTCGAGCAAATACGGAAGCCGTGGTTTAATAGTGTTTGAAGCCCGTTTAACTTGAATCTAAAAGAACAAAAACTAAAAAAGAACAAAACTAACTGCTGCCTATATCTAGAAGAACAAAAACTAACTGATGCCATTAGAAATTGTGAATAGATAGGCACTTACTTTATTATTCTGCCCTTTGTCTGTAAATTTAGGTTTTAACTGTATTTTTTTTTACTCCAAACTTTATTAATTTTCTTACTTTATTTGTGTTCTAGATTTATCGAACTGACGATGTAGCTGGTCTCCGAAACGTTTTCAAAAGAGATATGCTGAATTTTTGTGGTGGTTTCTTCGCTTTTAAATTTCTAGTGAATCTGCGATTAAAGCAATCTAGTGACATTATTAATTGATTTTTTTTGTTTGGAAAGTAAGCCGATTAACTTTTTCACACAAAATTACTACGAATAATTGCCTAATCTGTTTCGTAACTCGCCAAAAGTTAAATAAATATATATTGAAATAAAATGGGGAAAATTAGCACGAATAAACTGGTTTCAAATCTTTTTATACAAAGCGAATAAACAAATAAATATAGAGTTATTCAGAATAATTCTGAAAATGAGGGTCGATTATTGTTCTAGATTAATCTTAAATGAATCGAGGGTACTTGTAACTAAAATTGTAGTTTGAAATAATTAGTTTATGAATTATTTTATTGAAAACTGATACGTGAAACATTATTATTTCGCAGCAAATTTCCTCAAGATGTCGAAGAACTTTCTTAAATTCACCTCAAAATCTAGAACTGCAGTGATAGTTTTATTGATTTCCCTGGCGATCCACATTAATTGCGAAGAATTGATCGAAGAAACTGGTATTGCAACTGAAACTCCTGACATTCCTCCATTTGACCCAACGCTCGTGACTGTAGCTCAGGGCCAAATTCGGGGCAACAAAGAGATCGCTTCATATGGGAAAGAATTCTACTCGTTCCGAGGAATCCCTTATGCAAAATCCCCCGTTGATGACTTGAGGTTTGAGGTATGACAATAAACTATCACGTGTGCTGAAACATGTTCGAAAACTGAAATTTTGTACCCTAGTAACTATAGCGTATAACAGCTAACCAATTTGCAACTTATAATGTTAGCATAATAGTTCTAATGATGTGAATCAGCGAATAACGTTCATTCTACGATTAGAAGCTTACTTTCCTATCCAACAATTATAAAATAGTCTTTACTAAAATGTCATAATTCTTACAATAATTTTTTTTACTGTGCGTTTGTTAATACATTCACATTTCTTATATGATAAATATTATTATTAAATCAATTCTATCCTCCTGAAACTTATATGTGGTAACAGTGGAATATGCAATGAAATTTCTTTACTCAATAAAAGCATTTACCTGAAGATTAAATTGAATTTCAGTTTACCGGAACGTCCACCTCATAATAATACGGAATTAAATTGCAGCCGCCCCAGGATGCAGAAGGCTGGCAAGGAGTCCTCGTTGCAGAGAAGGATCCTCCGGCTTGCCCCCAGCTGGACATGATGGCGATGCTTGCCGAAGGAAGAATCAATTACATTGGGGATGAAGACTGTCTCTTCCTTAACGTTTTTTCGCCAATGCCAAATGTATGTGGCGCATCATGGGAGCGTGACTAACGTTTCGACTTTTGTTTAACAAAACCATGTCCAGTGCATAGATATAGATAAAGGATCCGTCCAGGGTAATTGTTAGCTTGAAATAAATTTTTCAAGGGAAAATTTTTGTGAAACTCGCCGGTTCACAATTGATCTGGTTAGCCTCCATTGACGCACTTAATTCTCCACTTAATTCTCCTACACGCACTTAATTCTCCTACAGGAAAACGATAGTTCACTACTGCCGGTCATGGTTTTCATACACGGAGGTGGTTACATATGTGGACGCGCATCCGAGTATCAGCCGTACGCTCTCATGAGCAAAGACATCGTCCTGGTGGTCATCCAGTATCGGCTCTCCACATTAGGTATGGAGAAATCAAAGGAACCTAAGTTTACCCAGCTTAGCCAAATCTTGCTATAAGTAACAATTTTTCATTCTTAGTCGGATGATGAAATTTAAGATTTCTCATTGTTTCCCAAATTTTAAATATATTTATAATTTTCGCTTAAATTTATTTGTACGTTAGTCAAACACGTTAACGAACTACTCATTGATGTAAATGACTTTTCCGTCTTTCAAATCGCTCGCAAAGTTTAAAAGTGATATGATAATTGCATAGGGATTGAAACTTCTTTGATTAACCATAAATTCACTTTTTTCAGGTTTCTTATCCACTGAAGACGACGTAGCGCCAGGTAACATGGGCATCCTGGACCAAACAGCGGCGCTCAGCTGGGTGCAGAGGAACGCGCCCAGCTTCAAAGGCAACCCTCTGCAGATCACCATATTCGGAATTGATGCTATTTTTGAATACAATGCGCCTCTATACATAATATAAATCACTTCTCCTGTTCAGTTTGTGTACTTACATACATTAAAATACGATTTTTCAAGTGTACGAATATTTATTTCCCCCCACTGTAGCTTTCGGCTTGATTCGAAATATCTGCTAAGGAAACATAGTTTAGACATTCAAGAATTGTGTATAGAAGCCAGGATATTTTCCTTACGGCTGAAGTTATTGAAAGGTTTTATGTTTGACATAAAGGTTCATGAAATGAAATTATAGTGAAAATTATTTAATTAACAACGATGATATTGTCAATAAATCTACGTCCGTCTTCTACTGTTGTAGGTAAATGACAGCTCACTGCTCCCGGTAATGGTTTACATCCATGGTGGTGGATACCAATATGGACGAGCATCCGAGTATCAGCCGTACGCTCTCATGAGCAAAGACATCGTTCTGGTGGTCATCCAGTATCGTGTCTCGACTTTAGGTAGAGAAAACCTGAGGAAAAATGCATGATCAAGAAAGCACAATTTTGTAGAAAGTAAATAATTTTCTTTTAATGAATTTCAGTTTCGCAGAACATAGAGGCAGGAGTTGTAGAACTGGTAACTTACTGTCGCACCCACCTCATTCGGCTGTGCGGGTTCACGCCGAGCAGTGCGATGCTCCAGTTTCTGACAGTGACTTCAAAGTTTTAGCTTCCAGTTCCGGTGTTTCTGATTTGCGCATTTTAGAATCATTGTATATTTTTTAACAGAGGCCTAGTTTGAATTTAGCTTTTAGATCTTACCCGCTTGACATTGTAAATAGGTAGGTTTTGCAGCTTAGGATTTTAGTTGTATTCTTGACTGTACTAATCACTGATTTATCTGTGTTCTAGAATTTTCGAACTGACGATGGAGCCGGACTCCGAAACGTTTTCGTTAAAGATACTACGAATTTTTGTGGAGTTTTCTTTGCTATTAAGTTTTTAGTGAATTTGCGATTCAAGCAAACGAGTGATATTATTACTTATTTTCTTTTAAAATCAATGTACACCCAGCTATTAGCTGTAAATCTTTGAAAAATATGAAGTAAATGGAAACCTTTGCGTCAAAAATATTCATAGTAGTATGGGCTTACCAGAATTAGCTTTTTTTCATTATATTTTTGAAGCATTTTATTTAGTTTCTTTTGAGGCTTGCCGAAGTTACGTATTATGATATTAGTTGTTGGGCATTTGAAAGGAGCTAATAGCGGCGTATCTCCTTCAGGCTTCTTATCGACTGAAGACGACGTAGCGCCAGGCAACATGGGCATCCTGGACCAAATAGCGGCGCTCAGCTGGGTGCAGAGGAACGCGCCCAGCTTCAAAGGCAACCCTCTGCAGATCACCATATTCGGCGAGAGCGCAGGAGGCGCTTCTGTGCATCTGCAGATGCTGTCCCACGCTTCATTAGGTGACGATGAAGTGCAGTTAGAAGAAAATATTTTACTATAATGCAGTTGTGTTACTTCAGTCAGGCAACGAAGACGTACATATATTAGTTCACAGATATACGTATATATTGTATAATCCTTTGAGAAACTGTCGCACGTTAACGTGGAAATTAATTTAGCCGTCTTTTAGTAGCTACCATGGATGTTTAAAAACTGTATTTCATGTTTCGTGGAAACTTACACTATGCTGAAAAAATGATTTCTTAATTCAGGGTTCTTCCACCGCGCAATCATTCAGTCCGGCACCGCAATATCGTCATGGGCTGTAGCCCCCAACCATCGCGAGGTCGCTTACCACATGGCCAAGCTCCTCGACTGCGGCACCAGCAGTAATATTGAACCAAAAATGAACTGTACTCTAGACGAAAATGATCCCTTCCTGTACGAGAGCTGCTTGGTTGACCAACTGCCGTCTTCAGCCGTGATCAAGTGCCTCAAAGCTGCCCCTGCACAATTACTGGTAGAATTGAGCTCCGTTTTCTGGGTGAGTTCTGGTCGCATTTGGAATTGAAGTAAATTTACAGAGCTTGATGGGTACTGGACTCAAACTGACGTTCAGAAGAGTGCATGACTTCACTGATATATGTCTCATGAAACATACACATGTTTAATGATATATAACTTAAATCGATTTTAGGAATTTGATTATATATTATCTATTTTTGATGCATCCAGAATGCAAATTAGTGCAGTAACTCGGTGGATTTTTATCTTGCTCCAGTAGGTGGGCACAATAATTTTAAGCATCCAGTACGCAACGCTCACCGATTTCCGTGAAACCTTTTTTGCGTCCTATTATGCCCGTGGTTTATTCGAAAGTAACTGATGGAATGCATATGTATCTTGAACCATTCTGATAATTCATTTTCTTATCTTTTGCCCAGCAAGTCGGATCGTTCCCTTTAATGATGGCCCCGCGCGTGGATGAGAACCTCCTGATGAAGGACCCGCTGCAGCTCGTGAAGGAGCATCGCAGCAAGAAGATCGACATCATGTTGGGCGTCACTAAAGATGAAGGATCCATCTGGTCAAAATGCAAGTGTCATTTATATAAGAATGCAAATAATGATTTTTACAAAATTGTCGCCATCTAACTTTGATAAAGGATTCATACATTTTGATTATTGTTTTGTACTGGGTCACCTCTAATCATGCATCTGCAGTATGGTTCATGTTTTTTTTGTAAAAAATAATTAAATGATGGATTTAATTCAGTTCCTGATACAAATATCATAAAAGAATAATGATACAAAATTTAAAAACCTATTCCATATCAACACCATTGACAATAACTTGAACATAATACTCTTATGAAATATCTGGAATTGCACAACATACTTATCAGCTTGACACTTCCATTTGTCTTACAGCAATATTTCTCAACGAAGCACTTCGGTCGAAGTTGAGGTTCCAGTTCACTGGGGCTGCTCCAGTGTTGCTGGACTTGGGAGAAGGTGACGTCGCCCCCCTGAACCTGACCATCAAACTTTTCGACCGCTATGTCGGCAACGCGGACTTCGAGATTGGTTCCCTTGACAACCTGACTGCCGTGAGAATCATGTCTAACACTTATTATATCTGAGTAGCAATTTATGAATTTTCAGCCAGAGCAGACTGGAGTATAGGAGACAAGTAATTTTCACGATAACGGAGCCGATTACCATAGCTTTGAATGACAATAATTTCCAGACTTCGCATCGAGAGCGACGTGAAGTTTTCTACATTGAATCTGCCCCTTTTATAAATCTTCTCAGAGATGCTATGAAATAGTTTATAATGAAATATACTGATATAATTTATAGGGTTTATACTTAAATTATTTCTTCGCAAATGTTTCAATCGGTACGAGTATTATGATTGCTGGTTGAAATTGGAATGTTGTCAGTTGTTGGGCGACCGCTTGATGTGGTACCCGTCAGACTCACTGGCGCACTACCTCGCATCAGACCCGGTCTCTCCGCGCAGGGGCAA